TAAAGATATATATAGTTATTTTCACTATACCCTAAGCTTTGCTTCCCCACCCGATCCTACCCTTCCCAACGCTTCCCCAACCTTCCCCACAATTTACGTTCTTTTTCTTTTATTTTTTAGCTAAATCTGACTGTTAAAAACTTCCGAACGCTGCCCCACCCTTTCCTACGCTTACCCATGCTTCCACACCCCTTTCCCACGCTGCCCCATTCCTTTTCCACGCTCCCCACACATTCTTTCTTGCTCTATCCCGTCTCCACGCTCTCTTTATCCTATATATCACACATATGTCTGAAATAACAAAATTTTTTTTTAACACGTTATAAATTTTCTTTTATTTTAAAATAATATTTGAAAATAATAATTTTAAAATTAATCTCAACAATGCTATCTGAAAATAAAACAGTACATAAACCAACAAGTTTTTAATAATACATGTATATTAACATTTTAAAACACTTTAATGCATTCATTTAAAAGCATTTATTAAATTGACAAAGTACATTGTATAAATATTACTTATTTAATTTTTTGTAAGTTTAAATGTCTTTTTAGAGCAATTTTTATTAAAAATCTTCTTTCACATTGTCTACAAATATTTTTGTCGATAACTTTTTCGTACGTTAGGTCATAAACTCTTTTATGACTGTTGTTGCAGGTGTCATGTGTATACATTTTTTAAAATTTGTGCTCCTTCAATTGATTTGTTTATGTTTTATTATTTTCCTCAAAGGTGACAAGTACAACTTTGTTTTGTATACATTTTTATTTGTTCGGTTACTACAGAGTAATCCTTAAATCTTAAGATGCAATTCTTACATTTAAAATCTCAATTTCTGGAAATAAAATAGATTTTAATATTTTAAAACTGTAATACGTTTTGTAATGGATATTTTTATGTCAATAATACTTCTTTGAATACATCGATGTTTGGTACAAAGATATGATGAAGTAAGGATTTACCACGAATATTGTTAGATTTTAAAAATTTTCAGTCAAACAATAGTTTTTATTTTTGATTTGTCTTCAGAATCATTTTAAATGGAAAAATTTTTTGGATTCGTTGATTTCTATCTAGAGGATAATTTGAAGAATTTTTTTCAGAGCCTGGACGTCCTTGGCAGCATTATGCAGTGCTTGTAATTTGTACTCTGGTACAAAGTCCTGGAACAAAGATCCAAGAGTAAATTTACCTTTCTGCTGTTTTCTGTCTTTCAGAGTCTATTTAAAAATCCGCAACAAGTCCGCAAACCCTTTAACTCAATTGCTAAATTCTATGTACAGCAAACAATGTTGTATAAATCTAATAAGTCTTGGGTTATCAAACTGTCGAAAAAAATTAAAATTTATTAGTCAATTACTGAAGGGTTTTGGGTGAGGAAAATAGGGAGACGACTTTATTAATTTTAATTTAGAAAATTATTTATTTAACTGACTTGACAAAAACTAACTGGCGACTGACTATAACNTTTTACCGAGCGCACTCGCGAATGATCGAATCTAGGCGGTAAATCCACTAAGGAGAGATAATCGCCGGTCAGGGCAAGCTAATTTACCAGAGAGATAGTTTTAGAGGTTTAACCTTTGACATACTTTCGAGTTAGAGTTGCTACAGAGCTCCGCACGCAATGACTACAACAAAGCGAGTGAGCGCGAATCAGCAATGTCTAGCACCACTAGTCGAGACTCGAGATTCAACATGGCAACGGTCTCGGTCTGCGCCGTGCGCGCGTTTCTTGTCCAAAGACTGATGCAACAGATACCTACGTGTAGGTGTGTGCAGTGCATGAGCACGCGCTTGGCCCTGCGAGTAGCGCGTATGTCGTAGCTCCACACTACTAGAGAGACACGCCTGGTCATGCCTACACACACTATCATGCAACCGAGGCAATACGGATCTCCTGACGATACGTCGCCCGCCTTTAAATCTAGTACGATTGTACACCTGTGATTGAGACATCCACGGTAATATGTACACGGTAATAGGTACATGACCACGGTAATACCTGCATACTATTTTTGTTAATTTTAATAATAATCCATTCAACTTTTAGCCTCGAAAAAAATTTTTAAATAATCTTTAAGAGTTTATGCAAGACTTAAGAAAAAAATCCATAGAATTTTGTCATTACTCAATATTTTATGGTGCTTTTAATTTGGATTTCTTAACATACGCCACGGAAATATGTACACTTACCCCTAGCTAAAGAGTTATACAAAAATAGATATAAATTTGAGTCACACAGTATTATATTTTTCAACCTCATGTACTTAGTACTATCACGCACTTTATGACGTATATGAAAATATGCGGTATTAATATTAAAATTTGATTTGTTAAGGAAACCCTTAAATTTTCGAAAAAAACTTTTGATTCAAAAGTGAATAACTTATGTACTGATATTCAAGTATTAAAAAGTAATTAAAATGACATTACAACAGTTATTTTAACACCCATGTCTACGACAAGCAATCATTTCGCAGCGCTAAGCATACCTCAACCTTCCCGAGTTCCTGAGTTTACGCGATACGTACTCCTTACGTGGCTCCATGTGACCGCAGCCTTAGTTACTGAGTACCACCCCAGAGGCCTAATTATTAAAGGATTTTTTTTGGAGCAAAGTTCCTTTTGTCGCGTTATGCGTTTTGGGCGAATGGGGGCTAGACCGAAAAAAGTGTGACAAGACTTTTTTCCGACAGTCGCTATAGTAATACAGCCGTGTATGAAGCTATATACATTGTCGTGCGCAGCTCTCTCTCTTTATGCGAGCGCACTGACAGACCCGACGGGTGACGGCTCTCTATGGTTCGGTCTCCTTCAGTTATACTCGGCCAGTAGCTCCTCCTCCCCGCGCCGCGTATCGTCAGCACTACTTACACATTTACAGCGGCCGCTGTATATACGTATAGCTTGTCTTGACACAATACATAACGTATTAGTCTCTTCCCGCCTTCCGCAACCTGCGCTATGCCACATATTGCACTGGCTGTATAATAGTGGCTGTTTAGTTAATTGCCCGAAAACAAAAAATACGATAAAATCTTGTTTTTCAGTAAAGAAAAAATTGGTCATTTCCCTACAGAATTTCTCCAGGAATATGGGAAAATAGTTCTGAAGAGCCTTGAAGAGTCAGAGCCAATCAGCGTAAGCCGCCAGAGAGAGACAGACAGGTATGTCGATCATGCATCTTTTTCTACTTAGGATACGAGCTTTCGGGCACTTTGCCTTCTCTATATGTAATATCTCTATGGTTAGAAAACGACAAAGATCTTTTGGCTCTATCCCCACTTCTGAGATTACGAGATGTTGGCTACAATCATAGACATAAAAATATAGACTACTTGTTTTTATGTACGGTGATAAAGCACGAACAAAAAGAGACACAGCATCGAACGTGTACGTCAAACCCATACAGTTTTCTCACCCCCAACCATTGGCAATATACGCGAGACAGATGTGCACCTTCGATGCTGTCTCTTTTTACTCGTGCTTAAACCCCCCAAGGTGTTTACGTAATTAATGGACGGCCCCCAAGTACGCTCTCACCTAAGCCTTCCAGTAAAGGTAAACATTACTTATGATTAACAAAAATAATAGCTTTTGCTTTTTATTTGAAAACAAAAATGAACGATAAGACTTTGAATCGTATGACTATTACAAAACTAGTACTTTAAATGTTAATCAACTATAAACAATTAATTATGTAAATAGATTTTAATATTTTAAAACTGTAATACGTTTTGTAATGGATATTTTTATGTCAATAATACTTCTTTGAATACATCGATGTTTGGTACAAAGATATGATGAAGTAAGGATTTACCACGAATATTGTTAGATTTTAAAAATTTTCAGTCAAACAATAGTTTTTATTTTTGATTTGTCTTCAGAATCATTTTAAATGGAAAAATTTTTTGGATTCGTTGATTTCTATCTAGAGGATAATTTGAAGAATTTTTTTCAGAGCCTGGACGTCCTTGGCAGCATTATGCAGTGCTTGTAATTTGTACTCTGGTACAAAGTCCTGGAACAAAGATCCAAGAGTAAATTTACCTTTCTGCTGTTTTCTGTCTTTCAGAGTCTATTTAAAAATCCGCAACAAGTCCGCAAACCCTTTAACTCAATTGCTAAATTCTATGTACAGCAAACAATGTTGTATAAATCTAATAAGTCTTGGGTTATCAAACTGTCGAAAAAAATTAAAATTTATTAGTCAATTACTGAAGGGTTTTGGGTGAGGAAAATAGGGAGACGACTTTATTAATTTTAATTTAGAAAATTATTTATTTAACTGACTTGACAAAAACTAACTGGCGACTGACTATAACCAACTTGATTGTATGCACAGACTTTATAAAGTACAAAGGAGAGCTAAATGTTGCGTGTGCACTTGACTATGGTCAAATCAGAACTGGCTCACCCCTGAATGGCGCTGTACGTGCTTCTCCTCTAACACATACACACATACGCTCGCGCAGACGCGCATGCCTACAGCCTATCGATACAGTCGTGCACTTCAA